CTTGATCTCTCTTTTTATTTCTTCTCCAACCCAGTCATTCTTCAGTAGCATGTTGTTTAAATCTTTGTATTTGCGGTTCTTCCTGATTTATTTTTGCAGTTGATCTCCAGCTTCAAAGCATTCTGATCAGAGAATATAGTTGGTATGATTTCAACCCTTTTACATTTGTTGAAGCTATCTCTGTGTCTCAGTATGTGGTCGATTCTTGAGAATGTTCCATGTGCACTAAAAAAGAATGTATAAGCAACTGTTTTAGGATGGAGGGCTCTGTAAATGTCAATCATGTCCAGTGGTCTAATGTATCACTTAAGGATGTTATTTCTTTATTGATTTTTCTATTTAAATGATCTGTCCATATCCGACAGTGGGGTATTTAGGTCCCCTACTACGATAGTGTTTTGGTCTGTTTCTCCCTTTAGTTCTGTTAGTAATTGCTTATTATATATTTTGGGGCTCCTTGATTGGGAGCATAGATACAAATGTTATGTCTTCTTGGTGCATGATTCCGTTTATCATTATGAAGTATCTCAGTATCTTTCTTTACCTTTTTTAATTTGAAGTCTATTTCATCCAATATTAGTACTGCTACTCTCACTTTTCTCTGAATGTCATTTGCTTGAAATATCATTTTCCACCCTTTCACTTTGAGTCTGTGTTTGTTTTTGGAACTGAGGTGTGTCTCCTGGAGGCAGCATATGGTTAGGTTTTATTTTTTGATCCAATCTGCAACTCTGCGCCTTTTTATTGGTGAGTTCAGTCCATTTACATTGAGGGTGATTATTGAAATATGAGGTTTTCCTATAACCATTTTATGTTTTGCTTTTTGGTAGCTCGGTGTTTCCATTGCTTCCTGTCCTGTGTGTCTGTTTTCTTTATTTTGGTTGGGTTTTGTGGGGTTCTCTCTTATCCTTGTTGTTTTATCTTATATATTTCAGTTCTGAGTCTTTGGCCTTTGGTTACCATCACGAATATGTAAAGGATAATTCTTCTGTGCATGCCTTATCTCCATTCTCCTTTGCAAATTTGGATATTTGGATTCTCCCCTTTTCAATCATTGTTGTCTCAATTCGTCCCTATGAATGCTGAATGTTCATTACTATCTTGCTATAGCAAATCTCTTATTGTTTAAGCTTATAATGCCCTGTTCTTAGTAAGGGTTGCATTCCTCTGCTTCTATCAGCCTGCTAGTTGCTTTACTTCTAGTTATGTATTTTTTTGTCATTTTGTTTTAGGTGAACTGACCCCTTTTAGTATTTCCTGTAGTGTAGGCCTTGTAGTAGAGAATTCCCTCAATTTTTTCTGGAAAGGTCTTTATTTCTCCTTCATATCCGAAGGAGATCTTAGCTGGATACATTATTCTTGGCTGGTAGTTCCTTTCATTTAATAGTTTGAATCTTTGATTCTACTCCTTTCTGGCTTGTAAGGTTTGTGCTGAGAAGTCCGACAGTAATCTAAGGGGTTTTCCTTTATAGGTTACCATCTTCTTTTCCCTGGCTGCCCTGAGAATTCTTTGTCATTGATTTTTTATTTTTATTTTTTTTGTTTTTTAGGCGAGGCAACCCTTGATTGACCTCACAGATTGCAAGGACCTTGTCAGCTTACAATCCCTTATTTTTTTATTTTTTTACACCTATAGCACTTGGTCTTCCTAGGTGGTCTCCCATCCAAGTACTAACCAAGCCCAACTCTGCTTAGCTTCCGAGATCTGATAGGATCGAGTGTGTTCACAGTGGCATGGCTGTAGCAAAAGTAAAAATCTTTCACTAGTCATAATTTGCCTGAGATAAAGTATATCCAAAAGAGGCCTTGTCAACCAAAACATCTCCAGCTCAGGTTTCTGCACAATACCTTGCAGTAACATTACTGCAAAAAAAGACTTTCAATTTGTCATTGTCAATGTCCTTCCATTTATCCATTCGCTAAAGTCCTTCTGGACCAGGTGGCTTTGAAACCAAGAAGGCAGCTTGAGCATTCATTTCACTGGTAATGTTTGAAACTAATTCCTCAGTAAAGAACAGTTCAAAATACTGCAGTGGGTCAGTGGCATCATGGCATCAACTTTTCTGTCAGGTGTGCCAGCAAAGTCATCATACCTTTGACATGGAATCATAACACGAGTTGACTATTTTAGAGCATGACCCGAGTCAGCTGATGTAGGGCTGTTTCTATCAGATTTCTAATTGGACGGAGGCCTGAAGATATAGTTTTCTGGAGCACCATCCGAAGTATCATCAGAATTGTCTATTTTGGAAAAATTGGATTCATCAAATCAAGTTTCAGCTAACAACTGTTTGAGAACGATGTTAATATCATGCATAGGAATGCTACATTTCCTAGGATTTGACATTTTCAGTGATCAAGAATTACTATATTTTGTAAATGGAAATACCATTACTGAAAACAATGCTGTAAATAGAATGATGTCATTTGTTTCCAAAGACTATTGATATAGTAGAGTGATGCGAAAATAATAATAAACACGAGATATTTCATGGCAAACGTTGGGGGTAAGGTTAAGACTGTAATCCAAATTATCTTGGGGTTACTGCTGCAGCTGCAAGTGCTGCCAGCAAGTATTCTCGGGGCAGACAGGAAATGGGTTAATCAGAGCCTTCCTTTCTTATTTGATAGATGCAGTAACTTCTCAAGTGTCTCTGAAGATAGTGTTCTTTTTAAATTTCTATGTTCTGTAATATGTTTATTTTGAGAGTCCACTTTTTCTGATGGTGGTTGCTTGGTCTTTCTCTTTCATGTTGCAAATTTTTGAGAGGTAGGTAACGGGTGAGAATAGTTTGAATTACACAGACCTCTTAAAAAACTATCTGATGATTTTTCTTAATTTTCTTAATTTTTTCTGTGGTGAGTAGAATCATTTAAGTTTGTTTCTTTGATTTTAGTATGCAGCATTTTGAAATAGATTCTTAGGAAGTCCTTGATGATAGTGGTAATGTTTTTTCTCTCAGAAGTAGTTTTACAGGCAATGACAAAGTCTTTCACATTTGCTGCCACTATTATTTTGTGTGTGTGAGAAAAATCTTTATTTTGGTCAAAGTAATACATGTACATACATGTATAAGTCATATAATTCCACATTGTGTTATACACACACACAGGTATACACACGTATGCACAGAAACAAATCAAAAGAGCCAGCAGTTTTCTGCCACATACTTCCCTATTTGTCATTTCTGCTCAATACACAAATTGCACTTTCGGCCTTTTTAGCTTTCTGTCCTCACTATCTACATTACCTGTTGATTTGTTTCACTTGCACCACACCTTTTACACATGTGTAACTCCCTCTCTTCAATACTTTCCCTTCTCACATCCTTAATTAGGTACAGTCCAAGCTTTACCAGAGCTGTAAAAAATCTCTCAAAGAATTCTGATGGCTTTACATATGTGTGTATTTTTTCTTCATGAAATATTCCCTGGGGCCTTCCATCTTCCTACTTCTTTCTGGACCATTTTATTCTTTCTTGGCCTTCCTTTTACTATTTTCCTTTGAAGATCTTTTCCCCTCTCCTGTACTGGATCCTACCTTTCTCTTTCTTGGTATATTCTCTCATTTTGGTGAAGTGCAGTTTATAGTAACTTCCTGAGAAGGTGTATGAGAGGTAGTTTGCGTGTCTGAAAATTCTTTATGCTCTATTTTACATTTGATTGATGGCTTAATTAGATTTAGAATTGTAAGTTGAAAATAATTTAACTTTAGAATTTTTAACATATTGTTCCATTATCTTTTAGTGATACCAGAGAGCTCCATGGGGTGGGAGTCCAAAGAGGGACCCTGACCTGGAGTTCTGGTGACCAGGTTCTTATGTTGTGAGAAAAATTTACAGACATGACAAACAGCAAGCAGGAAAAGTTTTATTAAAGCTAAAATACACACTTAAGAGAAAAGTGTGGGCAAACTCTGAGAGTCTGCTCTGAGCTATCTGGATTCTGGGCTTTTATTTTCTTGGGGGTGGGGGTCGTGGTGAAGATGTAGTACTTGCAGTGCTGGTGATATTATAATGCTATGATTAGCCAAAGCTAAGCAAAGCAGAGAGAAAGACTAGCCTTATCCTGGAGGGGAGAAGGTGGCCCAAGGCCATCTATCTGATCTCTCAGCCTTGGCTGGAGTCTCACATTTGGGATCAAAACTGGGCGAGGGCGGAGTAAATGACTAAGAAAAAATTCCAGAGCCACATCCTGAAGGGGAGGGGAAACTTCCCTAGACTAATAAATATCCTGCCTCACTAGCTTTTCTCGATATTGAGAAGTTAGTGCCATTCTGATTCTTGGTCCTTTGTGATTTTTATTTCCCTCTGCAAACTTTTAGGGACTTCTCTTATCTCACTTACCTCAGGTATTAAGAAATCTTGTGATGATTGCCTAGCCTTGGGCCTTTTTTCATTCATTGGGCTGCATACTCATTGGGCCCTTTTAATCTGGGAACTCATGTCTTCAGTTTTGAGAAACTTTCTTGTATTATTTCTCTAATAATTTTCTTCATTTTCTCTACTCTCCCCTGTCCCCAGCTATTAGTTGGAAGTTGGACCTCCAAGATTGCTTTTCTATATTGTCTTTTCTGCTCATGTGTTTTTTTTTTTTTTTAATTTTCTTGGTTCTTTTTTTTCTAAATTTCCCTAACACTTACAATGAATTTAAAAATTTCTGTTATTGAGTTCTTGTTTTGTTTAATAAAAATACAACTTTGAGTAAAAGTACAGTTAATGGAAATAATTTGCTTTCGGGTTACACTTCTTGACTTTAGATATCAGATTATTTAATTGGGAACCATACAGATATTTTGTGACTATCCAAAATATCCGAATTCAAACTTTCATTTAACATCTAATAAAGCAAAGATTATGTGCTTTTTGGTAAGATGTCATGAAAGAGTAGGTGCAATTTGAAGTAAAGTATACATGCAGAGAATTTAACACCTAGTTTCATGAGATGCTTTTACTATGGATTATGTAAAGTAACAGAATCTTTTTGGTGTAATTTCATAGGATGACTTTTCAGGATTGTCACCGTATGAAAGGAAGAGACTGAAGAACATATCAGAAAATGCAAACTTTTTTGCTTCTCTTCAGTTGTCTGAGGTTTGTGTGGAGTTTCTAGTTAAAACCAAGATGCCATTCCCCTTGCCAGTAGGTCAATAAAATACCTATAGTATCAGGTTTAATAGTGTTAGATGAGGGAAGGTAAAATTAGGAGAAAGTTTTGCATTTAATAGACAGAGGTTACCATATTTTATTGATTCCAAGACATTTTTTTCATTTTAATATATATATTAAATGTTAATAT